CTTAACAGGAACATGCACACTGGTACCAGATAATGTATTATTAGTCTACAATTAAAGTACCAACATAGTGTTTTTATTGTTTTAAATTTTTTTTTTAAACCTGCAACACCACAATCATTTTACAGTCCAGACAATGAATACAAAAAAACATTTTAAGGAACTTTTTAAGAGGTTTTCCTATTGTCACACTGAATCTAATCCTAATCCAGTTAAAGTCTCATCCTTTTCTATTGTTCCTTGCTAATAATGACTTATATGCTTGTTTTATTTTTATTGTATTTTGATTACTTTAATTTCCACTAAAGCCCAATTTAATGCTCAATGGAAACGGTTGCTTCTGTGTTAAGGTGCTTCATTTCCCACCTAGTTTTGCTTTGCTTTGCTGTTTTTTTATGCTTATTTTGTAGCACTTATTTACAGTAATCAGACAGGAAATGAGCAGAGAGAGAAGGCCTCCTTACCTGCAGCGTCTGCTCTTCTTCTACACCAGTGGTTCTTAACCTTTTTTGAGGTACCGAACCCACCAGTTTCATATGCGCATTCACTGAACCCTTCTGTAGTGATAAATAAAATATTTTTTTTCCCCCAAATTCAAGATATAGGAGTGACCCAACAAGAGTCTAGTTGGGTCACCCCATGATTACTAAGTCTTCTTAAAAGGTAGAGTCTCTGAGAACAGTTCTTCAAAATATAGTCAGTGTTTTCAGTAAAGTCGAGCTGACAGGAACGACCCAAGGTATTTAAAATTTGCCACAGTTTCAACAGGTTAGCCATAAAGATAAACTGGAATCACTTTAAGGTCTTGTTTAGATCATTTAATTAGCTCTAGATTCTTAAGAGAATGAAAAATTAATAATAAATAATAAAGACTTTGCGGTATTCTGATTTAGTAATGAAATTATATTAGTTGTGTTACCACCTCCACGCCACTAGAGGCAGTAGCAACCCCGAAAAGATGCAACTAAGGAGCAGATTTAGAAGTACACCGAAAGCTACAGAATTTGGTAAAAACTGTGAGTTTAGCTGAAGTAATTAAAGACACAAGTTCAAATCCATGCTGAGTGGAGCTCCTTCAATCAGGGCTCCTCCGCAGCTCTGATTGGCTCAGCAATGTAACGTGATCCTCTGCAGCAAGTGATGGCAAAGCGGAGCGTCATCTCGACTTTACACAGGTGTGTCTTTACCTCCGCGGCAGAGGCTCCGCCGAACCCCTGAGACCGATTCACCGAACCCCAGGGGTTCGATCGAACCCAGGTTAAGAACCACTGGGCTAGCTCCATATGGCACTAGTAAGTTTGACATTAGCATCAGCGCTTTGAGACATTAGTTAAAACTGGATACATTTTTAAATCTATCTTAACAAACTTTACACACCAAAAACAACAGAACCAAGATGTGCTGATTACCAGGTTAAGACACTTAACTTGTTAAATTCTACTGAAGAGCCTAAGAAAGATTAAATAAATAATGTTAGAAGTTGTTTATTTATTAACATTATGCAGAATCTAATTTGCTTAATTAAAATTTTCATAATTTTGTCAACTGTAACACTTTCTAAAATTCATTTTTACAGTTTAGCGTTTCAGTTTTGCATGCTCTTATGCACTAACAAGGCATACACTCTGCCCAACCTGGTAATAAGTCTGACTGAGCTGTGGCTGAGGTTCGACTCGCATCCTATTCCTGCTCAGGGCTGGGAGGGGCATCACTGTATTCTGATAATGTTACCATGTTAAGCCTACCTGCACCATGTAATCCTCTCAGTGGGTCTGATGTTTAAGGCTGGACCGGACCAGGCCGGGCCGGGCAGGGTGCCGTTTACACAGGGGTGTGTGGAGGCTCACACTCACCCTGTGGGTCTCGGGTCAGCTCAAACATGGAATGGAGTGTATCTTGATGCCGGCCTGCTGAGTCCATACAATACAGCACAAAGCGACACATTCCCCATGCTGTGAAGATCATAGTTACCTGAGACAACACTGTTATGTCCTCTTCACACCTTTATGGAAACAATGCAGCTCTTTATGAATGACTCATTGTCATGGCATGGAGCGGGAATACAGAGCTTCGTTAGCGGGACTTTTCCACATCCCTCTCCAAAAGAGGCTCGTCAACATGGAAGATCTTGCAGCTGTGTTAGCTCATGATGGAGAGAAACGGTGGAGAATTAAAATATTTCAGCTGCGTCGGCTTCATCCCCTTTTTGAAAACAAAAACTGCAGATTTTTTTGTCCCTGAAGCTGTAAAATCTGTCCCATAGATCCGAAGCAAGTTGCTCCCATCGTGCAGCTGGAGCAGGAGCGCTCACCTCCACCTGTGCACAGCCTGAACATCACCGATGGCAAAGAGAAGACGGAGAGGAGCGTCCCATATATGAGTTCTGTCTAACACAATAGCACATTGTTAATAGAACAATCCCCATTCAGAAAGCAGAGTATCCATTGACCACAAGCACTCTGCCTGTTTGGATATGAGACAATGCTCTGATACCTGACTCACAAACCAGTGATGTGGACAAGTTAAATGAGTTATGTAAATAAGGTAGTTAAAGCTTGGATAAGCCGATTATATTTCTAAAATGCAGATCCACACACTGGTATGGCTTGTTGTTAAGAATAAAGGTTCTCAGATTATTCTAGGAGTCAATGAGCTGTAATAAAGAGCCAATAAGCCAAGCAGTCGAAAATGTTACTAAACCGAGCCACCTCAAGTCATCGACACATCAACAAGGAGGATAAAGAAGATGGCTGCTTAGCTGCAAATATATTAATGAAAGGTTAAGCAGAAGGAAAAAGTGTTGTAGACAATAGGGGAGGTTTTGTTTCATTTTCCTGTAGGACTTTGTACCTTTCCACACTTCTAAAAAAAATTAATAGCTCCTTTAGTGACAAATGAATCACTGTTCTTGATTGACCAGTAAACTGTCCTGACTTAAACTAACATTTAAGATAATTGGGGTTCAATTAGCTGAAAGTCAATTAAAATGGACAAACATAAATATTTGAGATGTATCACTGTGTTTAATGAGTGTATATGAGTTTTATCTTTTTGAATTGAATTACAGAAATAAATTTACTTTTTATAGTATTATAATTTATTAATGTGCAACTGCATGTGTTCAGATTTGTGCGCCTCTGGGGTTGTACTTGCGATAAAAAAATGTTTAAAGAAACAGCGCTGTGACATTAAATGAAACCCATGCGAGGCTGACGTTCAGCTGAAACTTTGCGTTGGTGTATTCACGCTGGGTCATTCAAGCTAATTAATTAAATCCATTAGCGCTTGTCCTCACTGCGCATTGGAGCGTGCGTCATGATCAACACAGCTGATGTGGATTCAATGTCTAATTCTAACGAGCTGCGACCCAACAACCATAATACACAGCAGACAATCGCTATAGTTAAACGAATAGGGCTTAATGGTCCAGGTATTAATTATATAGCCACTAAATTTGCTTTTTCTTCAAGGTAAAAACGAAATGTGCGCCATTTGGGGGGATTTATGCAATATGCACGTTCCAGGAGAATATGTTATTGATTGCATTTACTTCTTCCGTGTGTAATAGTCATCTTTGATAGTTTACTTTTACAGTTTGAACAGGCCGTCATGAGCTCTGCAGACGCGTACATTGCAGATTTACAGTGACAATGTCGGGCTTATGGACGTTTTAGAATCTTTGAGAATAAAATAAAGAAATCAATTTCCACTAGTCTCAAACAGTAACACCTGTGACTACATAAAGGCTGTATTATGTAGGCTATGCATTAATACATATAAATAAAAATAAATAAATAAATAGAAATAATAGAAATGACAAATAAGTAGAGAGAAAGATGAAACCACGTTGAAGTAAATATGCATCTAATTACACAGAAACGACGCAAAAATCACGATAATACTTTCAATGGAAACTTTTTTGCGCAATTACACGAATTTAATTTGTAAATATTAGAGACTTTAAAGTAGGATTAATATATTTTCGCTCATCTTTTGTATGTAAAATGTAATAAGTAAAAGGTTGGATAAATTATACAATATCTAAACATGATATATTTGTAAAACACACAGAATTAACACTGAATCTGCCAAATTTAAATGGTTTCCCCCCTTTTTTACATTCAGAGGAACAACAACCACCAAAACTGAGAAATACATAAATAACATCTGTTACTTACGACTGAAAAAGGCCTAGGTTTTTTTTTAATGAAGTGTTAAAATGGTGGAATTTTCCAGCAGTTTTAGGGTTACATTCAAGATGCTTCATCTTTTCTCTAAACCCGACAAACCTGACAACGTTAATTGTCTGCGTTTTGTGATGAGCTAATCATCCTTCTCTTGAACGGGTCAACTATCTCTCTTTTTTTTCTGGTACGTGGAGCAAATATTTGTGCGCTTTAATCGTGCAATAAACACGCCTTGATCACGTTTCTTTCTCTTTATTTGTTCCAGTCCTGTAAAATGATAATGGCCGATAAGACCTGAGAGCCTCAATGTAATTAGTAACCAGCTCTACGTGCTGGAAAAAAAAAAAAAAAAAAAAAAAAAAAAATTTGATGCTTTTCTTCCCCACTTCTTATAGATCTATTGATTCCGTTTCTGTACAGAAGGTAATAAAGCTTGCAATGCGCCTTTAATGAGTGAGCCAAAAGAAGTGTATTCTTAAAATTAGTTTTAATTGACACAATTAAAAGTCTAACATAAGGTGAACTTATTCAACTTTGGGGAATTGAATTTGGTTGATTATTTTACTGTTTTGTAGCGATAAAATTAGGAAAAGAGGCAAATATACAACGGCGCATTATGTAGACGGAAATTTACAGGTTTGTGGCAACATTTGTATATGTTATGCTAAGTTTAAGTCTCAAGGCGCCCCCTGGGACATTTTTAAGGGGCGTGATGGGCCCCTCATCACCAACCTGAGGATTCACACCTTAAATCCACTCCTCCCGGCATCCCATAGGCGGAGCCGGCCTCTTATATCACTCGTCATCACCGGGAGGATGACAGCGGCCCGCGAGAAGACCTCAAAACATCAACATAAAAACATGCGTTTCAGCCAGGTGGCCCCTCATTTCCAGCCATGCGCAAACCCGCTGGAGAGCGAGGACGGACAGCAAATGAGCGAGGTGCGCTCCCCGAGTTCGGGGCCCTCCAGTCCCATGTCTGTCCACTCGGAGTCCAGCTGCGCCAGTCCAGAGGCAAAGTCCGCCCCGGCGCAGCAGAGGGTCAGAAGGCCGCTGAACGCCTTCATCATCTGGACCAAAGAGGAGCGCAGGCGGCTGGCGCAGCTCAACCCAGACCTGGAGAACACGGATCTCAGCAGAATACTTGGTAATTCTGTTATCTTAATATTTGTCCAATTATGAGGAGGCCTGAGGGCCCCAAGAGAGATTAAAACGCACTGAACGGTAGTTGGAAAAAGTGCATCCTGATGAATTAGAATGTCACAGAAAGTTTTGTTTAAGGTTAAAAAAAGAAAAGAAAAAATCAGGGGTTTATTTCTGTTAATTCAATGATTGAGCCTGTAAAAACCCAACATTCAGTTTCCTGGTAATCTAGAAATTTTTTTGTAAGACATTTTATTTAAATTAAATGCAAAAATGTTGTGATCACATTGGTGCAATATTGTGTCTACACATATCAATGGAAAGTTGAGTGGAAGGAAAATAATTTGGGGGCACAAGCTCCACTGTTTTCCTAGTGGTCTTAATATGGTGCCGTTCTTATTTTGTGAATACTGATTTTTCTAAAAACTTTAATAATAAAAATAACAGCTGAAATACATCACCATGTTGAATTAATTACTCAAATAAATTGAGTTTTTTTTTATTCCCATATTTATAGGGATGCACAAGAATATTTTTTTATATGTGCATATATGTCCTTTCCAAGTTAGAATCTCTGATGGCTATCAGACTTGCAAGTGTCCCAAAGCAGTCTTTATTACCTGTTAAACTTTGCCATACTTTTTTCTTCCATTAATTTGCGTAGACTAAGCACTCTGTGAGCAACCAGCTTATTTAGCAATAATGTTTTGGGGCTCATCCTCCTTGTCTGGTGGTCTGACGTTTTTCCAGTGTCTGTGTAGGTCATAAAATTGTCTTAACATTATATTTCTGGATTCAAAATCATTTTAATTGGTCTCATATCAATTAAAATTAAAATCCTCCAGATCAAATATGTAAATATCAAAAAATAAAATCAAAATAATATATTAATTAGCAAGTTAATATATATTTGCTAATTAATATATTATTTTGATTTTCATCAGCTGTAAGCCATAACTGTTTAAATTAACAGAAATAAATATATGAGTTTCAGTTTCTGAAATGAAAATGGGCCTCCAAATAAGGTTTAAAATTTTGTAAAAAAAAAAATAAATAAATAAATAAATTCAGGCAATCCTCACAATAGTTCTCTTCAGAGTTCACCTTAACCACATGATCATGCTTATAAAGATTATTCATCACAATCTCCTCTTGCAGGAAAAACATGGAAGGCTATGCCCTTGGCTGAGAAGCGTCCCTACATGCAGGAGGCTGAGCGCCTGAGGGTCCAGCACACCATCGATTATCCCAACTACAAGTACAGGCCCCGACGGAGGAAGCAGCTGAGGAAGAGCCATAAGACCCAGTCTGCAGAGGCCTCTCCACTCTGCAGCTCTGGCTTCAGCATTCCCTACAACCTCACCTATCTGCTCCAGAACCACCAGCACCACCACCAGCAGCAGCAGCAGCAGATCTTCCATAATTCACCTCCTTTCCCTCATTCATCTCTCCAGTCTAGCAGATACATCAACCCAGCCGTCCCTGACTCTGAAGCAGCCACTGCAGCAGACAGTTTCTCCAGCGACCCTGCTGTGCGCTCAAACCCTCCCGGGTGCCAGCCGGAGCCTCAGGCGTACTTTAGCTCCCAGCAAAGACACATGCAGCACGGGTTCTCCTCACCTACAGCTCCTCTCATGGACCAGAGGGAGTCCAGGCTCCACGGGTTCCAGCAATGCCCAGCAGGGCCGTCCTTGGAGTGTTACTTAGAACAGGTTCAGCTGGACATGCTGTATGATTTAGACCGCAGCGAGTTTGAACAGTACCTTGTTCCAAAACACCACGGGTCAGAGCCAGCAGAGCAGAGCAGCTACAGAGGAGGAGGCTCTGTGTGATAAATCAGACCAATGTGGTCTATTTATTTAAACTGTCCCACTTCAATTGATAATAACTCATGAATGATTGTATGCTTGGTGAAACATCTTATTTCTCTGTGATGAGTTTTTCTTTGTCTTCCAGTGTTAAAATATTAAAATAAAAAATCAATAAATAACTTTAAATCATCTCATAATTCTGTTGTTAATGTTCTAAAACAATTAAACATCCCAAAGTGTTAAATAAGTGGCTAAAACAGCGACAAATGCCAAAAGAACTGTTTAGAAAAAGTAGACAGGACTACATTTCCCATAGTGCAACATGATTTAGAAAACTTTTCATTTTAATTTCGCAATATATTTCCACAAAACAAAAAAAGCAACAGCAACAAAAAAAACATTCTGAAGGAATCTTAAGTCTATAAAAGTCACAGTAAATATTACTTTTGTTGAAAAAATAAACTTGACTTCTGTTAGCCGCTTGAAAAAGTGCTATTTAGAAACCGTAATGTATTCAAGAAATAAGAAAATAAATATATTTGACCTGGTGTTTCACAATTACTGACACACATCACAAATATGTGTTAAAATCCTTGAAAGAAATACCTTTAATTGCAGTAGAATTAAGAAAAAGCTGTTTGTATGAGTCAAACAGCTATTTTGACTCACACAAAATAGCTGTTTAGTTACTTATGACCTTCTGTTTCTCTGAGATACAACCGTGAAATGAACACACTTATTGTTTTTTCTCTAAATCTCCTTGTAGTGATCTTGTAGTGTATATATGAATGAGAGCAAATTATTTGAAATATCTGTTACATTACACACAGTAGGAGCCATTCGCCCTGTTTAATCTCGATCCTCTTGGCTCAGCGATGGAAGCCGAGTGGGCGCCAACGACATAAACTTCCCAACTTCCTGTTACATTTTAAAACATCTCACAAAGGCTCTAAAAATATGCCCCAAAATCGGCATATCTCCAAACACTCGTTCAACTTTGGCTGCCAAATGTTTACCCATTTAGGAGAATGTTTACTTCCCTCTCCGGTATTTTCTGTGTCAGAGCCTCGAGGTTAAACTGTGTCCTGGATAAATGTAAGAATGCAAGACATCCCTCCAAAATTATCCCACCCAGCGATGCATTATCTTTGTGAGTGTATCAGGATTTTTTTTTTTTTTACCTCACAGGATGATTTATCAGTTCAAATTATTAAAATGTCTGAAGGGAAATAATTATTTACAGGCAAAACTAAGATACTAAGGCTAAAATAAGATCACACATATTATAGAATACACAACATTTTTTTCCTCAAGAGTTTGATTGATAGTTTTTTCTTCTGATTTACATTTACAAATTTGTTACACAAAAGCATTAAAAGCATGACTCTTGTTCCAAATGAGATTTGGAAATCTACAGCTCTGGAAAAAAATAAGAGGCCACTTCACTGAACTCCATTGAAAACCTCCTGGTTATTCCACCAAATATCGATTTCTGAACTCGTACTGAATTAAAACATCAGTATTGTTGTTTCTAAATGAATATGAACCTGTTCTCCTTGTGTTATGTGAGATCTGAAAGCACTGCATCTCTTTTTGTTAATTTGACCATTTCTCATTTTCCGCAAATAAATACGAAATTTTTGCTTGGCACTTCAGAAACATGTTGTCAGTAGTTCAAAGAACAATCTTTATTTTAGTCAAGCATATAACTATAAAAAGTCAAATCAGAGAAACTGATCATTTTAAGTGGCCTCTTAATTTTTTCCAGAGGTGTACATTTATAATTTATTTAAAGACACCTAAACACACTGGTTACTTTAATTACATGTGTCATTATTAAGTCCTAATGAAGAATCAAGATAGGTACATTTTACAGAGAGACCTGGTAGCAGAATATCCTTTTGAAATATGTGGTTTATGCATACAAAGGGTAACAACAGCTGCATAAATTATATGTTTATTTATACTTCTGACAAATTATTCTTTAATATTTGAAGGGATACACTGCTGCAAAACTTTATTGAGGCCTGATATGCAATGCATGGCAGAAACCTACTGTTCTACACCGAACAAGCGATCTCTTTATTATTTATTTTTCTTCCATCACCCCCACAAAAATGGCATCAAAACGTTCAGCCGAGAAGAGAGCTGTTAATTTTAGTGGGATTCTGAGTTAAAATGATGACATAAATTGAGAAAAACGAGAAAAATCGAGGCTGAGTGTCTCACAGAATCACTAATCTTACTCTATGAGAGGCCCCATGTCCAAAACGTACGTGTAAGAGAGTTTGTAGGTTTTGGCCCTTGGGGCCTCTCATACAGTGGGTGTCTCACAAGTATAGAAACTGTCACCAGCATACTGTCTGACAGAGAGAGTCAGCCCAGGTGCAGACAATTAATTACCATAGCAACGGGTCGCAGAGCGAGACAGTGAGCAGTCTCATAAACAGGCGCAGACAGGTCTCACAATGCATTGTGGGAAGAATACATATTTCCTGTGACTATTCATATTTTGCTTACATAAAATTATAATTTCTCAGAATTTTTCAATGTGAATTAAAATCCATAGTATGAAGGTTGAATTTTTATTTATTTTTTTTAGAAATAAACAATTACCCACTGCCTTCATGATTTTTATTTTGGACCGTGAGTGAGAACCACATGTGCGAAGCTTATAGTTGTCAGTCAGAATGTCATCGTGCATGGAGGATTAGTCATTGCAAGAGTCTCTGTCATTGGATTCTGATGTAGTATGTCAAACTTTGAAAAACGTTCGTTCCTTACTAGTTTTAATTTCTTCAGGAATTTATAATATAGTCTTTGTAATATTACGTATTACTTTATCAGTTCCTACTGGTTTGTCATCCTCCAAATGGGGTTTGTTTAAGATGAGAGTGACATAGCCAGGATCCACATTCTGAATCAAGTTATCAATAACATTAGATAGCTACTTTCTTCCAAGTACTCTTTTCATTCATGACGTTTGTTTATGTCAGTATGTGGAGTTCATTTTGAGCTGCAGAAGTATGAAATGAACAAACAAATAAAAACAAAATAACATGAAAAAACAAAATAATATGATAAATCAGATGAGAACACAGGGAGTTTGGATATGCGTCTGCACATGAGTCAGAGAAACGTTGGGAGGAAGTGGAAGAGCACAGAACCAAAGGGAAGGATGAGAGAGCATAGGAGCTGATTAGGAAAAGAAGGACTTGCAACAGTCTGAAACCACCTGAATGAGCGGAAGAAATCTGACGTCAGTTCAACTCCCAGGACAGCGTTACAAAACAAACTGCAACCAGAGATGCAGAAAAACAACACGGGGACGCTGAAGATTCTCTGTGTAACAATAAAATCCACTCTCGGGCCTTACACTTCCTCCTTTGTTTGCTTAAAGTCAAAGCTGTTTCTTGTTTTCCTTGAAGTGTGGTCCCTTAGCAACAGTTAATGACCAGTCGCAGGAACTTCCTGAAGGAAAAACAACTGTGTGATATCATCAGAGATGCAGATGAAATTATCATCAACAGCAGCAGAAATAAAAAACTATAGGTGGATACTTTTGTGACACAAAATAACTTTTGCAACTTTGCATTGGGTTTTTATTTAGAAAATAAAATGTTAACCCTTTCATGCACAGTGGTCACTACGGCGGACAGCTGTCTAAAAGCCATTTTCTTGTACTTCTTGTGGATTTTTATATTATAAATGCACACAGACCACTGAAGTGGACACTAATGCATCAAAAAATACTCTATCAACTACTGGCCATCAGCTGCAAATGCAAGGAATTATTTTTGTTAAATCCAATATGGCCGACAGACAAAAAAGCATGCCAACCGACCCGGTCCCTCCTTCTACTGTAGACGACTCTTGCAGGTAAAAAAAAATATTGTGACATCAGATAACCCCTAAAGAACAATACTACTGATGTATTTTTCAAATAACAACTTTGTATTTGAAGAAAAGAACTTTTTTTTTTACAATTTTTTTTCCTACCTTTTTTTATGCCTTAAGAAAATAAAAATCAAAAAATGGGGAAAAAAATCCTGTCACAAAGGATCATAATTCATGCATGAAAGGGTTAAGAAACATGGGTTAAGTAACAACACATACTTTATTTCATGGATATTTAAAACATTAAACATGTTTAATGTTTTAAATATCCATAAAATAAAATAAAACATTAAATAAATAAAACATTAAACATGTTTAATGTTTTAAATGGTGAAACATTATTCCATTTGTCAAAAAACATAGAAAACCTGCTGGGAGCTGACAGGAACATGTCTGAGCTTATCACTGCCGAGGAATGTGTGGAATCCGAACATGTCAAACATGCCGTAATCCAGAGGAAACATTCCTCAGCCATAAAATACTTTCCATCCTCCAGATCAAATATGTAAATACTCCAACTCTGTATGTACATTATTGACACAGGAATATCTGGAGTTTATATTAAACCTATAAAAAGAAACAGCTCCGACAAACATTCTTGAGATTTTGTGTGCCATTTTTAGGCTCCTCTTCTTTTACCGTCTCTTCGAGGGTCATCGATAGTTTCCTGTCCTGAGAGCGGTTTGGGTAACGCTGAGGCTGCTGTCTGCAGATGATTCCCATCCGAGTATTATCCAACAGGGACGCCTGCTCAGGGCGGAAACTCAAACAGGAAAGCAGTGAAGTGACACACTCAACAGTTTCTTACCCGGCAGAAGCTGTGAAGCAAATTGAAGGTTTCATTATTTCCCCTTTGGAGCGGCAGCGACATTTAGAGACGTGGGAAAGCCTTCTGGTGGTTCAATGAGTTAAACATCTGTTTGATCACTTCATGAAGCCTAATCATGAACTAACTGGGCCTATCAGATTACCATGACTTCATCAAATTGGTCCCAAAAAGAATGTTCAGCAGCTTTCCACCTCACAAGTTTTTATCCCAAACTACTCCAAGATCAAGTTATATATAGTAGGTTTCTAACCACATCGTGTAAATGGAAGTTTTTTTTTTTATTTTTAAAGCTTTAGAGAATGGAAAAGACAGAAATATTTTATGATTTGCTTTCTTTATAAGCCTAATGTACCATTTTTAAGTGCTTTTGTTTTTTAGACATGCATAATGGACTTTTGTAAGCACTATCAGCTAACAATCAAATTGTTGTTGGTTAGCTGTCTGCTGTCTGTCACTTGAAATCACGTGTTAGAGTCACTGACAAGTTGTAAAGCGCTGGTTTGTCATTTCCTCATTCTCCGTAAAGGAACTCTCAACTTCATTAATTCAGTATTGCTACTTTTGCTGTTTTATATGTGCTTTA